GTAGGTCTTGCCAAGGACCTAAAAAAAAAAAAAAAATCCCAGGATTTACATTTTTATGCCTTGCTGACAACTACCTTGGCCCTTGGACACTACCTCTTAGTTAGTGAATAAACTGGAGTTAGCAAATGACCTCAGAAATGCCATTCCCTCCCACTCAGCTGAGCCAATGGGAGGTTGACCTGTCTGGTCACTGCTACCTGCCATCCGCCTGGGGCAGCTCAGGAAGATGCTGGCTCCGGAGGGTTCCCCTTTGGGCTCACTAGAGGGCGCCCCTCTCCCAGAGCTTTGTGGCAAGGCAGAGCGAATGCTTCCAACCCAGGAAAGTCGGCCGAGGACTCTATTCCCCAAGCTTGGAAAAGCCATTGAATGTAATAGAAACAAGTTTAAGAAAAAAAAAGAAAAAAAAAAGGATTTATTTACAGCTCGCCTTGGGAGACCCTTTTTCCCCGGGCGCAGGCGTGCGGCACGTCTGAGGCCGCCTGCTTTCCCCTGCGCCCGCGGCGCAGTGACCCTCCTGGAGCTAGCTCTCCTGGCCTGAGCCCAGCAGGTATTGCTACCCGGCCTGCAGGGGGCCGAGGCGGGGTAGGAGTCCGAGGTTGAATAACCCTCAAAGGTTAGTACTAGTCGTTAAGTCCAGGGCTCCGAACTGCTCATGCAACGGGTTGTTCAGGATGAGAGGCAAGTTCCCTTTCGCCTGGCTACCACAGTCCTTGACACTTCCGTCCAAGAAGGTGCGGAGAGCGCTGGGTCGAGAGTAGTGGAGACTCACCACCGCCACTCCGAGGAGGAGGCACAGGATGCCTGCGGCGGCGCGGACAGAAAGAAACAGGGTAGTCAGGGCTCCAAGCCAGAACCTGGCCTGCCCCCCTCCATCTCCTGGGGGCTACCCCTAGCATTTCCTCCCCCAACCCACACGGCAGAAAGACCTCTAATATGGATTACGTGATACATGAGTTCATGCGCTAACTGGGGCAAGCCACCGAACCCTTCAGAAGCCCCTGGCCTCATCTGTAAAATGGGCATAACTGCCTGCTTCTAGGAACTATTAAGAGGAGCAAATTAGATAATATATGTGAACTCATTTTGCAAACGGGAAAAACACACATCAGCTCCCACGCCCAGCCTCCCAGAATCCGCCCCCTTGGTCCTCACCGGTGGCCAGGGTGACCCAAAAGGCGGCGCCGTAGTGAGTGATGAGCGTGGAGGAGCCGAGGCGGAGCGGGCAGAGCGGCACGCTGGAGATAGAGGCGAAGGCGAAGATGGAGAAGAGCGTGAAGGTGCCGGTGGTCATGAGCGCCAGGCCTCCGTAGAGCGGGACCGGCATGGAGAGCAGCGCGTTGGAGAGGAGCCAGAAGCAGAACGCCACCCTGCGGAGGGAACCCGCCGCACCGTGAGCTGGCTTTCCCCAGCCTCGCTTGCTCTGTGTCCCTACCCCAGAACGAAAGCCGGGGCTGGGACGGCGAAGGCGCGAGGGAACCTTCCAGCCGCGTAGCCGACTCCCAGGCTTTGCTGGGGCTCTCTGGGTTCCGACCGTCTGAGCGGTAATTCTCACTCCCCGCACCATGGGGCTGTAACTCTACCTCACATCCTCTGGCTCACACGCCCCCGCCCCGACAGTCCCTCACTCACAGGTGCCTTCCCTCCAGAGCTCACCACAGCGTGGCGGACGCGTAGTGTCCCGCCAGGCGGTACTGGCGGTAGAGCCCGCAGGGGCTCCTCGGGGTGAACTTCTCCGCCAAGTAGAGAACTGGATCGGGCAGCCCCTTTTCCAGTGCCTCCGAGTACTCCTCGGCATAGTTCTCACCCAGACGCCAGTTGAAGTGCTCGTTGTAGTCTATGGTCTCGTTCAGCTGCTGCACCGGGGTCCCTGCGAAGGGAGGGCGGCCGGGGTCGTGGAGCTGCGCACAACCCGGGACACGGAAACTAAGCCAGCGCGCGTAGGAAAGGACAGGTGTGAGCGACATGAGGTTTGGCAGCGGTTGCGGAAAACACGGATCCGTGAGAAATAAAAACTCTTCGAGCCCGTGGGGTCGGAGATTTCCTCCAGCTGCCCCTGCCACATTCCCCCAGCCATGGGGTCTGCCAATCCAGAAGTTCACTTTGCCCCAGCCCCCTCACCTGTGAGTGTAATATTAATTCCCTCCAGGCCGACGTGGAGACCAACGTGAGCGCTGACCCTTGCTGCACTGAAGGCCTTGTAGGATGTGTTGGTGTTCATCCCACCCACTGACCATTGTGCGCTAAAGTGCACGGCTGTGGGGAGAGACACAGTGTGGGGGGAGGGTTAGGGAGAGCATTGGGGCGATGGAATGAGGAGAGTGGTGATGGCAGGTAGGACACTGTGCAGAGAGATGGAGGGTCTAGGGGTCCAAGGTGGTATATACAGTAAGGGTGGAAGAGTGGGCACTAGAAAGAGCTGAAGAATGGGAAGAAAGAGCAGGAAACCCCCAAATCTCCATTTTCCCAGGTGCCCTCTGCCCACCTCCATCCTCACCCCAGGTCCTTTCCCCATCTGCAGCACCACACACTCACCCACAATTTCCGCGCCTATGAACAGACTGAGAAGAACTCTCACCAGCCAGAACCAGCGCTGCGGGAACAAGCACCTGGGTCAGGTCTGATAACTGCCCAACTGGAGTCCCCAAGACCTCCCTTGACCCCATGCCACCTAGATCTTTAGTGCCCCTGCAACTGTACCCTCTTGCCCCACACCCTTTTCCGAGTTACATTCCTGACGTTTTAAAGCTAAAGTCTGTCTTGCTTTTTGTGCAAATCCCTCTGAGCCACTGGCATTTCTGTTTTCTAGCCATGCACTTCTGCCTCCCTAGCCCCATTTCCCAGTCCACCCTGCAACCTGGCTCCCTGCCTGGTGTTGTCATATCACCTTCACTCCCCCAGCTATCTGGCTCCTGGTCCTGGTCTTGCCAGCTACTCGAGTCACTACTATGATGAGGCTCAGTGAGTCCAGAAGTACCAGGCTGCAGTCACCTCCCCCAGGAGAGCACAGCCCCAGGGTCCTGTCATAGAGGAGGTAGGAATGCAGCCTCTCAGATATTCCTAGGTGCACCAGTTTCCCAAGGAAACCGACACAGATGGAGACTCAGGGAGGCCAGGTACTCCTAGACTGGAAAAACAACTTAGGTTCTGGGAGAAGGGGGGGTGGTCCAAGGACAAGTACCCAGTCTGTTACAACTTCGAATCATTTGTGGGAGTTCCCGAGTCCTTAGGATGGGAGCACCCATACACATGCATCTCAACCCAGCACACTAGTGAAACACAGCATTCTCAGCTCTTGGTCCACTGGTCATCCCCTGAAGGCTAAGATTGGAGTGCAGCCACGGTCTGGGGAGAGGAGGGAGACTCTAGCAGCATGTGAAGACTAGAATTAGCCCCAGGATTACTGGACTGGACACCCACTCTCCGCAGCAGCCTCCTGGATGATTCAGGTGGGTTCAGTCTCTAGAATGTCTTATACGGGGCCTCCATCTCTCCCAGTCCTTGGGCAGGGAGCGGTGCTGGCTGCCCCCAGACTTCTGCGTCTGCTCCACCTATGCTCCTCTGGTTCAACATTTCGTCTGACTATTCATGGAAGCCCTTGTTACAGTATTACCTGTCCTAGGTCTTCCAGAGACAAGCTGCCCATGACCCTCAAGCCGTAGCATCTAGCACCCCCTTACCGAGTGACCACGGATCCCAGGCAAGATGAGCAGGAAGCTGGCGGCCAAGGCCAAGAACACCAGAATGACGATGAGCAATGGGACGCTGAAGCCGGGGGCATGCCGGGGCTGGGGGTAGAAAGGCAGCTCGCCATTCCACAGAGTCATGCTGCAACTGGGCCAAGCTGGGTCCGCTGGAGAGGGAAAAGTGTGAACCTGGCAACCGAGCTCAGGTCCCACTTCTCTTTAGCCGGTCCCCTGTGTTCTTGGACAGGACTTAATGCACTGGTGAAGTCTGATTTGCTCAACTCACCCCTAAGGAAGCGCAGCGGCTGGCTGCCTTCAAGTGCTCTGGGTTGGCCCAGGCAGGGTTGGGTAGGCGGGAGAGAGGAATTATTTCTCACTGGCTATAGCCAGTTACTTTTACGGCTCTGTGTTTGGAAGTGTGCAGGACCTGGAGCCCTTTTATAGCAGCCTGGGTAGGTCGTTGGGTGGATGTCGGGGCTTGGCAGCTGGGTGTGGTTGGGAAGAGATCTTGCAAATAGGAGGTGGAGGCAACTATGCAAATGAGGAAAGCCCAGCCTCCACAGTAAGAGGGCTAGCCTCCGGTCAGGAGGCAGACACTTGGCTCGGGTCTAACCTCAGCGGACCCCAGGGCAGCTGGCCTTAGAGGATCCAGAGAAGAGGGTGAGAGTGCTGCTGGGGAGGATCTTCAGAGCTCGGAGGGGTTGGGGGTTGGGAGTGGTGCTGTGTTGGGAAGATGGAGGCTGGGAGGAGGGCAGAAAAGCAAAGATTCCAAGAGGAAAGACTTCTGACCCCTGACAGGGGCCCTAAACCAGAGGTTGGGGGAGTTGGGGGCCTGATCGTTCCATCCCTCCTGTCCACGCACAGGCATTCACAGTAGAGTAGGAGGGGCTGCAGGTCCCGGTTCCCAGCTCACTAACTGCTTTCCCTTCCCTGCCTCCTCTAGGAGAAGCAGTTACTGAGGGCTTGGGGATGGAGATTGGAGGTTGGGAGGTGGGGGGGGTGCTGCCTTGGACTGGTAAACCCCAGAAGATTAGTGCTGCGGCAGGTGGAGGGGTTCTTTGGCCAGTGTTAGTTCTTCCACCAGGTGGACAGTGGGGACCAGTGTCAGTACCTACCAGGTGTCCTGAAAAGAGTGGCATGCAGCTGGTGTCCCCCATGCCTACAGCAAGCCCTGGGTCCTCGATGATGCTTCTAAAAGCTTTGCTCCAGAAGTGAAAACAGCAGACACCTCCTCCCCAGTGCTTGCTGTAGGCATGGGGGACACCAACTCCTTGTCACTCACTTTTCACCTCCCCCCTCCCAAGCGGCAGGGTCAACATGCTCTGCGCAAGGCCAGAGGCAGTGGTGCTCCTGGGAGCTCTGCTGACTGCATCCCTGGATCCAGCGGGTAAGTATCCGGTGCCCCTAGCTTCGGGATGTCACCCTGTACCTCCTGAGGCTGGGGAAAGAAACAGATGCAGCCCAGCTACAAGATCGGTCAAATCGCAGCGCCGCTCAGCGGGATGGGAAACTTCCCAGGGCAGCCGCACCGCCGCTCAGGGGTTGCCTCTCGGGTAGGGCTGGGGGCGCTCAGTGAGCGGGAGAAGCGCGGGCGGAAGCCGTCGCGTCCCGGAGCGGTCGCAGGGAGGCTAGCGCTGAGGGCACCGTTCTCCGACCCGCAGGCGGCCAGGACTCACTCCCACTGTCCTGGGAAGTGCAGCGCTATGACGGCTGGTTCAACAACCTGAGGCATCACGAGCGTGGCGCAGCGGGTGCGTCCTGTGGTCCTGGGTGGGGGGGGGGCGGGGGGGATTAGGGAGATGGATTAGGGGGTCGGACCGCGGGAGACCCGACGCGGAGAAGCCGGGCTGTCTCCACAGCGAACTCCTACGCACTCCTGGGGCCAGGAGACCCTGGAGAAGAGGGGTCTCGCCAGTGAGGATGGGGATTTGAAGTAGGCGTAGGGAGAAGCTTGTGGGCTTACTGGGGACGGGGTTCTCTGACAGCCCAGCTCCCTGCTTCCCACAGGCTTCCGACTGCAGCGCCTCGTGCCAGCCAGGTACGCGGATGGCGTTTACCAGGCTCTGGGGGAGCCGCAGCTGCCCAACCCGCGCCTACTCAGCGACGCCGCCATGCGGGGCACAGCCGGGCAGCCATCCCGCCGCAACCGCACCGTGCTGGGGGTCTTCTTTGGTGAGAGCAAAGTGGGAGGACGCAGGGGGTGAGCAGTCACTTAGCTCAGCGCCTGGGGAGAGCGGCCCTGCGGCCGTCTGCAAGAGCACGGGAGGCGGACCCAGGACTCCCAGACACCTCCTCCTCCGCACTAAGCAACACTTCCAGCCCTTCTTTATCTCGGGGGACTTGGGAGTGTCGAGTCAGGGATATTCGCTCCTCTAATCTTTCTCTTACCCTTTAGGCCAAACCTAGGAGTGTCATTGTACCTCCATTATAGCTCTAGGAGCTGAGTCCCCTGCCACCGCTCTCTTACCGTATGATTATATCCTCTTTCCTCCGAAGAGAAAGGGGGAGGCAAGATCTGTTGGGAGATGGGAATTGGGGTGGGGGAGCCCTTACGTTAATTATATTATTTTGATTCTTACAGCAATGTTATGAGGTGGGTGGAGAGGGTACTATATCCCCACTTTGAAAATTAGAAAAAAGACCCGGAGCCGGTGGCAGAGCTTGCACTCCAACATGTCTTTTGACTCTTGAGAAACCTAGAGAAACTCCCTGCCCACGGGGAGTGGCGATTCTCATCAGTTTGGCCTCCATGGCCGCAGGCTACCACGTGCTCTCGGACCTGGTGAGCGTGGAGACCCCCGGCTGCCCAGCCGAGTTCCTCAACATCCACATCCCGCCCGGCGACCCGGTGTTCGATCCCGACCGGCGCGGGGACGTGGTCCTCCCCTTCCAGAGGAGCCGCTGGGACCCCGAGACCGGACAGAGCCCCAGTAATCCCCGGGACCTGGTGAGACGAGGCGGGCGGGGTCCGGGGTTCGCGGCCAGGCCAGCGCAGGGCGGGGCGGGGCGGGGAGAGGCTCCCACCCCCTCGCGCACTGACACCCGCCTCCGCTACCCGACCCCCGGCTCACCCCCGGCTCACCCTCGCGGTGCCCCCGGCAGACCAACGAGGTGACGGGCTGGCTGGACGGCAGCGCCATCTATGGCTCCTCGCACTCGTGGAGCGACGCGCTGCGGAGCTTCTCCGGGGGGCAGCTGGCGTCGGGGCCCGACCCCGCCTTCCCCCGGAACGCGCAAAGCCCCCTGCTCATGTGGACTGCGCCCGACCCCGCCACCGGACAGCGCGGGCCCCGGGGGCTGTACGGTGAGGCCGCGGGGCGGGCTGCGGCGGCCGGGCGCGGGGCGGGGCGGGGCGCGGGCTGCGGGCGGCCAAGTTGGTGGTCACACCGCCGCTCCTCTCCTGCCCTGCGGCCCCGCGTCGCCTGCAGCCTTCGGGGCGGAGCGAGGGAACCGCGACCCGTTCCTGCAGGCGCTGGGCCTGCTGTGGTTCCGCTACCACAACCTGTGCGCGCAGCGGCTGGCCCGCGAGCACCCGCAATGGGGGGACGAGGAGCTGTTCCAGCACGCGCGCAAGAGGGTCATCGCCACCTACCAGGTCAGTCACGCGCCCTCTCCCCGCCCCCCCGCCCCCCCGTCCCCCGCCCCCGCGACTGTTGCGCGGGAGACTGCGCTGCCCCGCAGAGCCCTCCATCCTCGCGCAAGCAGCCCCCAGAAACGCCCTTTTCCGGGAGGACACTGCTCCCCAGAACTGGAGCTAGCGTCTAGGAATGGACCCCGAAGATGAGGAGCAGGCAAAGGACCCTCACACACGAGACTTGGCTGTGGTTATTAGTTATTAGCCCACGCCCATCCCGTGTTCCTAGTGGGGGACAGGCGTCCGCACCTGTCCTGTTGGAGTTGCCTCCCTGCTGACTGCCCCTGCCTGGCCCTCACCTCCCACCTAAGCCTTCCTGGGGCTCAGACCCTCCCAGCGTGGCTGCTCCAGCGCTTGCCTCCCTTTTGCCCTCTGTTGACCCTCAGAACATCGTTTTGTATGAGTGGCTGCCCAGCTTCCTGCAGAAAACACCCCCGAAGTATGCAGGTAAGGGGATGGGGAGGGAGAATGGGAGAGGAGCAGAGTGTTTTGGAGGTGGGGGGGAGAAAGGGTGGGGAGGGAGGGTGGGTGGTTTAAGGGCTAAATGTTACTATCCTCTCTCTTCTTCCCTTCCCCCAGGATACAGCCCTTTCCTGGACCCCAGCATCTCCCCAGAGTTCCTGGTGGCCTCTGAGCAGTTCTTCTCCACCATGGTGCCTCCTGGGGTCTACATGAGGTGAGGG